ACAGACATACCACTATACAAGACACTCCCACCAATACAGACACAATAAAGCACTCCCACTACAATGACCACTCAATACGCACACTACCACTTCAATACAGACACTACCACTATAATACAGCACTCCACTATAACGGACATACCACTACAATACAGACACTACCACTACAATACAGACACTACCACTATAATACAGACACACCACTCATCAGCACTACATAATACAGACCTACACTCAATCAGCCTACCTAAAAACAGACTACCACTTAACTACACTCCACTACAATACAGACACTACCACTACAATACAGACACTACAATACAGACACTACCACTATAATACAGACACTACCACTATAATACAGACACTACCACTACAATACAGACACTACCACTACAATACAGACACTACCACTACAATACAGACACTACCACTACAATACAGACACTACCACTACAATACAGACACTACCACTACAATACAGACACTACCACTATAATACAGACACTACCACTACAATACAGACACTACCACTACAATACAGCCATTGTTGAAGACAGAATATGTTTCCCTGAACCCTAACCTCTTTCTCTCTCTCTCTCTCTCTCTCTCTCTCTCTCTCTCTCTCTCTCTCTCTCTCTCTCCAGACATAGCAGTAGTTGATATGAGTGACGTGTTCCGTCAGCCCTCGTTGTTTTACCATCTGGGTGTCAGAGAGAGCTTCGACATGGCCAACAATGTCATCCTGTACCATGACACTGACCCCGACACCGCTCTGTCACTGAAGGTATGCACACACACACAAACAAACACAGTGGAATCTAAGCTGTGTAGATACAGAATCCATATTTCAATTTCATCATCCTGTTGTTGCAGGAAGGCGAAGACTTCTAAAATTTGTATTTTCCACTTTAAAATGTCAGACTTTATTTGCCCTACCAAAAAATGCATCAACCCCTACAAAACATTTCCATGAATTATAATTCACATAGCATTTCATTGTTCAGAAGGAGATTATTTTCTTGCTGCTGAAACTGGCTCAAATTAAGATACGGCATCTGTAGGGTGAGGGGGCGTTGGCTGTGAGGTCATAGATGGCATTCCATCCTCTGAACAACGGAGCGGACTGGGTTTATTTACAGCCCAGTGTGTGTGTTTTTGTCTTGTGTGTCTGTGTCTGTGAGTGTGTGAGTGTGTGTGTGTGTCTGTTGGTCATTGTTCAGCGTGCATGCGTGCGTGTGTGTGCGTGTGTGTGCCCACAGTTGCAGTGGACTAGGTGTCAGGCAGCTATTTCCACGGTGATAAAAAGGAATGTTGTTGTAACTGAAGTAAGGGGTGGGGGGGGGTACCCTTAATGCCAAACAACACAACTCAACAGATAGACTGCACACTACTACCACACACTCACTCTCTCAACTTCACAACACTCCTCAACTTTATTCTTACAAGTATTTCTCTCTTTTGTAGGACATGGTGGCACAGAAAAACACTGTAAGTACCTGCATGAGTCCTAAAATACTTATTTATCTTTAGCCTCTGAACTTTCTCTCTATCTCTGTGTTGTTGTGTTCACTCTGTGTGTGTGTGTGGAGAAGGCGTCTAGAACACAGACAATAGGGTTCCCCTGGGTTCAACTCCCTCCAGAGTACAGAGGCTCTGGATTACGCAACAAAGTAGGTACTGCTGCAATGCATGCTGGGAGTCCCCTCCGGCCTATCACAGGCCTTTGCCACAGAGGGGGGCAGAGTCTCTAGCACCTTAACTCTAACCTTTGACCCTGCTCACCTTAACTCTAACCTTTGACCCTGCTCACCTTAACTCTAAGATTTGACCATGCTCACCTTAACCTCTGACCCTGCTCACCTTAACCTCTGACCCTGCTCACCTTAACTCTGACCTCTGACCTTGCTCACCAGAGTCTGTGTGTGTGTGTGAACTTACTCACCTTATTATGTGCCCCCTATAAGTGTGTTGGGATGAGAAGGCATGATGACCGTCAGTGTGTGTGTGTGTGTGTAGTGTTTACCAGAGATATTTATCTCATTCTAAATACATGGCTCCGGAGTATTGTGTTGCACTCTATGAGAGAGTAGTTTGTGTGGTTGGGACACAAATACCTGCTTCCTGATTTCAGTGGTGTTGGACTGACTTGTTGTGAACATATTCAGAGTTTTCCCTTTATCGAGCTGAGCCTGTGTGTCTGTGTGTGTCTGTGTGTGTGTGTGTGTCTGTGTGTGTGTGTCTGTCATAGACTGCAAGGCTCTCAGTAAAGCCCAAGATTATTTGTATTTTTTTTATTTTACCTTTATTTAACCAGGTAAGCCAGTTGAGAACAAGTTCTCATTTACAACTGCGACCTGGCCAAGATAAAGCAAAGCAGTGCGATAAAAACAACAACACAGAGTTACATATGGGGTAAAACAAAACAAAGTCAAAAATACAACATAAATAAATATATATACAGTGTATGCAAATGTAGCAGGTTATGGAGGTAAGGCAATAAATAGGCTATAGTGCAAAATAATTACAATTAGTATTAACACTGGAATGATAGATGTGCAAGAGATGATGTGCAAATAGAGATACTGGGGTACAAATGAGCAAAATAAATACCAATATAGGGATGAGGTAGTTGGGCGGGCTAATTTCAGATGGGCTGTGTACAGGTGCAGTGATCGGTAAGGTGCTCTGACAACTGATGCTTAAAGTTAGTGAGGGAGATATGTGTCTCCAGCTTCAGAGATTTTTGCAATTTGTTCCAGTCATTGGCAGCAGAGAACTGGAAGGAATGGCGGCCAAAGAGGTGTTGGCTTTGGGGATGACCAGTGAGATATACCTGCTGGAGCGCATACTACGGGTGGGTGTTGCTATGGTGACCAATGAGCTAAGATAAGTCGGGGATTTGCCTAGCAGTGATTTATAGATGGCCTGGAGCCAGTGGGTTTGGCGACGAATATGTAGTGAGGACCAGCCAACAAGAGCGTACAGGTCACAGTGGTGGGTAGTATATGGGGCTTTGGAGACAAAACGGATGGCACTGTGATAGACTACATCCAATTTGCTGAGTAGAGTGTTGGAGGCTATTTTGTAAATGACATCGCCGAAGTCAAGGATCGGTAGGATAGTCAGTTTTACGAGGGCATGTTTGGCAGCATGAGTGAAGGAGGCTTTGTTGCGAAATAGGAAACCGATTCTAGATTTAACTTTGGATTGGAGATTCTTAATGTGAGTCTGGAAGGAGAGTTTACAGTCTAACCAGACTCCTAGATATTTGTAGTTGTCCACATACTCTAGGTCAGACCCGTCGAGAGTAGTGATTCTAGTCGGGTGGGCGGGTGCAAGCAGCGTTCGGTTGAAGAGCCGATTAAATGTGTCATTTGTGAACGATCCCTATAAAAAGCACAGGCTCTGACTCCCATCCAAACAGCTACCAGACCCCCAATACACACATAGCATCTGAACTTCACCCTTTAGGGTGACGATGTGGCGGAGTGCGACCGTGTTACTGCCATCACTGTGGAATCATGGGATATGACCTGCTTTCCAGAGTGCTAACAGCTGACGACCAAATCAACCTCTCTTGAAAAACTGATATTCATTTCAACAAGACTAACCTGGTTAAGTAAAGGTTAAGTAAAAAAATAGACCTCCAAATCTACTGACCCCCTTTCTTCCCCTTTCTATCTCTCTATCTTTCTATCTCTCTATCTCTCTATCTCTCTATCTTTCTATCTCTCCCTATGCTCCTCCTCTCTCTCTCTCTCTCTCTCTCTCTCTCTCTCTCTCTCTCTCTCTCTCTCTCTCTCTCTGTCTCCAGGCGTCCAGTGGTAACTACTACTTCATCCCCTATGTGCTGACTCCTAACCATGAGTATATGTGTTGTGAGAGCGATGCCCAGAGGAGGGCCAGTGAATACATGCAGCCCAGCTGGGACAGCCTGCTGAGTCCTCTCTGTCTGCCACTCACCGACCGCTTCACCTCACTGCTCAAGGACATCCACGTCACCTCCTGGTAACACACACAGACAGACATGCAAGCACACACACACACTATTAAACACGACGGCTCTGGAAGGAAGTGCTTCTGACTCAAGTTGAACTGGAAATGTAACATAAGAACAAGAGTGCAAGTCCAAGAGAGAATCCACGCTGGTCTCAGGGCTGGGGTAGAATAGTCTCAGGGCTGGGGTAGAAGAGTCTCAGGGCTGGGGTAGAAGAGTCTCAGGGCTGGGGTAGAATAGTCTCAGGGCTGGGGTAGAAGAGTCTCAGGGCTGGGGTAGAAGAGTCACAGGCCTGGGGTAGAATAGTCTCAGGCCTGGGGTAGAAGAGTCTCAGGGCTGGGGTAGAAGAGTCACAGGGCTGGGGTAGAAGAGTCACAGGGCTGGGGTAGAAGAGTCTCAGGGCTGGGGTAGAAGAGTCTCAGGCCTGGGGTAGAATAGTCTCAGGCCTGGGGTAGAAGAGTCTCAGGGCTGGGGTAGAAGAGTCACAGGGCTGGGGTAGAAGAGTCTCAGGGCTGGGGTAGAAGAGTCTCAGGCCTGGGGTAGAATAGTCTCAGGCCTGGGGTAGAAGAGTCTCAGGGCTGGGGTAGAAGAGTCTCAGGCCTGGGGTAGAAGAGTCTCAGGCCTGGGGTAGAAGAGTCACAGGGCTGGGGTAGAAGAGTCTCAGGGCTGGGGTAGAAGAGTCTCAGGCCTGGGGTAGAAGAGTCTCAGGCCTGGGGTAGAAGAGTCACAGGGCTGGGGTAGAAGAGTCTCAGGGCTGGGGTAGAAGAGTCTCAGGCCTGGGGTAGAATAGTCTCAGGCCTGGGGTAGAAGAGTCTCAGGGCTGGGGTAGAAGAGTCTCAGGCCTGGGGTAGAAGAGTCACAGGGCTGGGGTAGAAGAGTCTCAGGGCTGGGGTAGAAGAGTCTCAGGGCTGGGGTAGAAGAGTCTCAGGGCTGGGGTAGAATAGTCTCAGGCCTGGGGTAGAATAGTCTCAGGGCTGGGGTAGAATAGTCTCAGGCCTGGGGTAGAAGAGTCTCAGGGCTGGGGTAGAAGAGTCTCAGGCCTGGGGTAGAAGAGTCACAGGGCTGGGGAGGACAGGAGCAGCACTGGAGGCAGGGCAGGAGAAGGGCCAGAGGTGGGTGGGGCAACATCCGACTGGTAGCAGGAGTGGGAGCGTTACAGAAATCAAGTCTCTCTCCCCTTCTTTCTCTCGCTCCCTCTCTCTCTCTCTCTCTCTCTCTCTCTCTCTCTCTCTCTCTCTCTCTCTCTCTCTCTCTCTCTCTCTCTCTCTCTCTCTCTCCCCCCTCTCTCTTTGTAGTGCCTCGTTTAAGGACACTCTGCTGAATGACATCAGGAAAGCCCGTGATAAGTACCAGGGGGAGGAGCTAGCCAAGGAGCTGTCTCGTATCAAACTGCGCATCGACAACACAGAGGTCCTAACACAGGACATCGTCATGAACCTGCTGTTCTCATACAGAGACATACAGGACTATGATGCCATGGTGAAACTGGTCCAGACTCTGGAGATGCTGCCTACCTGTGACCTGGCCACACAGCCCATGATACAGTTCCACTACGCTTTCGCTCTCAACAGGTAACACACACGCAAGCACGCACACACACACACACACACACACACACACATGCACACACGAGCGCACGCACAGACACACACACGCACACCTTGCAGTGTCTGGACCTCCCTGTAGATAAGTAGGTCTGTAATATTGTGTATGGCTGCTCCAGAATGTTTCATGATTAACGTCATTATTATCATTATTGTCATTTTTTACAAACACGCACACACACACGGCTGGGGAGCCTGAAAGGGGAACCAAAGCAATAGGTTCTAGACCGCCTAATAACTGTAACTGTAAATCAGCAAGCGTTTGTTGTTCATATTAATACATCACTGACTGGACAGAAACAATTTGGAATATTGCTTTATAATGGCCTGTAATGCTCGTTGCTCAAGTGGTTTGCAGGTCATTTCATATTTTGGGGATCTTGTTTTTCACAGTAGGCCTACTGATCTCTGCCTGTCTGGTGTGTCCTGTCAGCGCAACAATATGTCAATTCATCCTCACCAGCAAATGTGATCACAGCATTGTGCTCTCTCTCCTTTCAAACATTTTGGCCTAGCTGTATTTTACATTCAGCAAGCAAGAGCTAGTTTGCTTCTGTCCTCGAACTGTAAAAAAATAAGCAACCAACAAGTTCTAGCCTAGTTTTTCCTGGAACTCAACAAGAGTTTAGGAATAGCTGAAAGGCCAGCGGAGAGGCAAGCGGAGGTGCATTATTGCACAGGAGAACAGTGAAGGTAGATAGGCTAAAGAAGCTCACTAGATATGGAGCCCGCCATTCACAGGCAAGAGCTAATTAAAGGCCTATGTCTACATAGCCTACAGTAGCTATAGCCTACAGCAATAATAAAAGTGACTATTGTTTACTTTGAAGTTTAACAAGGCTTAGCTATGTTGCACAATGGACATCAAGGCTTCAATGCAAATACATATTTAGCTTCATATTGGGACGTGAGAGCTGCTCGTTACCATGGACATTTTAATGGTGGTGCCCAGTCCCAAATTAGCATTCAAAAGGGTTCAAAAATCTAAATGTTCAAAGTGGAAAATGTTTATATGACAAACACCCAGATCATATATGTGGGGTTTGTATAGATTGTTTTATTTGACTTAGCTTGTAAAATGTTTCCATTCCCCTTGAAGATTGGATTAGTAAACAGGGGTGGTCCTCGTGGGCTGCAGTGTGTGCTAACTTTCTTGTTTTTAACCATAGACTGAACTCTTGTGTGTATAGGAGGAACAGCCCGGGGGACAGAGAGCAGGCTCTTGGTGTGATGTTACAGGTGTTACAGTCATGTGACCACCCAGCTCCAGACATGTTCTGTCTGTGTGGAAGGATCTACAAAGACATCTTCCTCGACTCTGACTGTAAAGACACCAAGAACAGGGACAACGCCATCCAGTGGTGAGACACACACACACAACGCACCCACAAGTTTACCAGGACTGAAGCCCAGGGGCCCGAGCGAGCAGACAGAAGGGAGTAGGCTATAAATTGTCAAAAGAAAATTCCTCTTTCTCTCCCCCCTTTGTCTTTCTCTCTCTAGGTACAGGAAAGGTTTTGAGCTCCAGCCAACTCTCTACTCTGGTATCAATCTGGCTATTCTGCTCATTGTTGCTGGACAACAGTTTGAGAGTTCCATCGAGCTGAGGAAGATAGGTAAGAACTCTACAGTACACCCTTAAATTCTGCACCTTCCCTACACCATTGGGGTTCTCCAGGGATCAATACTCACTTCCCTGTTGTTTAGTCTCTCTCTCTCTCTCCATCTCTCTTTGTTTCTTTCGCTCTCTCTCTCTCTCGCTCCCTCTCTCTCTCACTCTCTCTCTCTCTCGCTCTCTCAATTCAATTCAATTCAAGGGGCTTTATTGGGAAACATATGTTTACATTGCCAAAGCAAGTGAAATAGATAATAAAAACTCACTCTTGCTCTCTCTTCTTCTAACCTCTCGCTCTCTCCCCCTCCCAGGTGTAAGGTTAAACAGTCTCCTGGGTCGTAAGGGCTCGTTAGAGAAGATGAATAACTACTGGGATGTTGGTCAGTTCTTTACCGTTAGCATGTTGGCAAATGACATCCCTAAAGCTACGCAGGCCGCAGAGAAACTCTTCAAACTCAAACCTCCCATCTGGTAAACACATACACACACTCCGTCCCTCTACCTCTCTTTCTCTCCCTCTTTGTTTTCCTCCCTCCCTCTCCATCCTTCTATTTATTTTACTGCTGAAAAAGGACAGCGAGTGGAGAGCCATCCTCTACAAGGTGTGGGTGTGTGTTAGTTGTGTGTTCATAGTAAAATAGTTTTAAAAAAGAAGGTCAATTTATTCAATTCATTAACATCTCTCTCTATTCATTAACATCTCTCTCTCTCTCTCTCTCTCTCTCTCTCTCTCTCTCTCTCCTAGGTACTTGCGGTCTGTGGTTCAGAACCTGCAGTTGATCCAGAGATTTAAGAAGACAACAGTAGAACACTCTCCCCAGAGAGAGAGGCTCAACTTCTGGATGGACATCATTGTAGAGGCCACTAGAGGAAAAAGCAACGGACTGCGCTTTCCGGTACACACACACAAACACACATGTGCACGCACGCATGCACACACACACACACACACACACATACACATACTCATACACACACCTTGTCTCTCACTGTGTGTGTGTAGGTGTTGATCCTAGAGCCTACTAAGGTCTACCAGCCCTCATATGTTTCCATCAACAGCGAGGCGGAGGAGAAGAACGTGTCCATCTGGCACGTCTCCCCTGCTGAAACGGTCAGAACTCCTCTCCTCCTACTCTCTCCATCTCCTCCTCTCCTGATCCTCCTCTACCCTCCTGCTCTATCCTGTGTGTTAACCGACCTCGACCTCTGACCTCTCTGTCCATCTCTAGAAAGGGATCCATGAGTGGAACTTCACTGCAACATCCATCAAAGGCATCAGGTATGTGTGTTTATGGTTTTCATGTTCTTGCTCATGTTAACATTAGTGTTTGTATGTGGCATGCTTTAAAAACAACCCTCCCCTTCCTGTCTCCCCATTCCTCTCTCCTCAGTATCTCTAAGTTTGACGAGCGCTGTTGTTTCCTGTATGTTCACGACAACTCAGACGACTTCCAGATCTACTTCTCTACTGAAGATCAGTGTGGCCGGTCAGAATCACACTCCAGTCCCATTCTCTCTGACAGACATCATACATTCAGCTCAGGCACGTCTTGTTTCTAAGTCTGTTGTGTTGACACTGTCTCTGGTCTGTGTGTAGGTTCTGTTCCATGGTGAAGGAGATGATTTCTGATGGAACAGGAAATGCAGTGGAGCTGGAGGGAGACGGAGACGGAGATACACTGGAGGTCAGTGTTTGTTATATCCGGCATTTATGTGTGTGTGTGTGTGTGTGTGTGGAATATGTGTTCCACAAGGATCTGTGTTTACCTCACTCTATGGTTCAGTACGAGTGCGTGCATATAAATAGGTGTGTGTGTTTTTGTGTGTGTGTTTGCGCACGTGTGTGTGTTTGCGCACGTGTGTGAGTGCGTGTGTGTTGCAGTATGAGTATGACATTAACGAGAAGGCGGACCGTGTGGTACTGGGCCGGGGGACCTATGGAGTGGTGTACGCTGGGAGAGACATGAGCAACCAGGTCCGCATCGCCATTAAAGAGATACCAGAGAGAGACAGCAGGTCAGTGGGTGTGTGCAGTCAGGTCACCCATGATACAAGTCAGTATTCGACGTCCATCCATGTCTGAGGACGTCGGGAGATGACGTAGAAACCGGCCACTAGAGGCAACAGTGAGCGCTGTTACCCTCAAGTTGTTTTCGGTTTTGCTAGGGTGTTGTGGACGGGGATAGGAGATGGGTGTAAGCATCTGCCTCTGACTACAAAGGTTGTAAGTTCCAATCCAGCACTATCCCAAACCTTAACCCTTACCTTAACCATTCACAGTTAATGGCTAACCTTAAGATTTCAGACTTAATGCCTAAACTTAACCATAAACAATTTGATGTTTGCAACAACTTCCACATTTGACGTTTGAGAAACATGGATGAAGATCTAATTCTGACGTGAGACTGTGAGAGCTAGTTGGTGTGTGTGTGTGCGTCTGTGTGTGTGTACATGTATGTAACCCTCTCCTCTGTGTGTGTTAGGTACTCCCAACCCCTTCATGAGGAGATAGCGCTCCATAAGTACCTGAAGCACAGGAACATTGTTCAGTACCTGGGCTCAGTCTCAGAGGACGGATACATCAAGATCTTCATGGAGCAAGTCCCTGGAGGTGTGTGTATGTGTGTGTGTGTGTGACCTAACCTGTATGTGCAGGCAGATTTTAAGTGTGTATGTGTGTGTAACAGGCAGTCTGTCAGCGTTGCTGCGGTCAAAGTGGGGTCCATTGAAGGAGGCAACCATCATCTTCTACACACGACAGATCCTGGAGGGACTCCGCTATCTCCACGAGAACCAGATAGTACACCGTGACATCAAGGTAACCTTAGCAACACATCACCACATCAAGGTACACCCAGACCAAGGTACTGTATCTCCATCATAGCCTCAGTTAGAATATACAGCACAACTTCTGTAAACAATACATGATTCTCTCTCTCTCTCTCTCTCTCTCTCTCTCTCTCTCTCTCTCTCTCTCTCTCTCTCTCTCTCTCTCTCTCTCTCTCTCCCTCTCTCTCTCAGGGGGATAATGTATTAGTTAATACCTACAGTGGAGTTCTGAAGATATCAGACTTCGGGACGTCTAAAAGGCTTGCGGGGGTCAACCCCTGCACCGAGACCTTCACTGGTATGACTCACACACACAATATTGTTTTCTGTGGCAACTCCTCTGCAAACTGGTATATTTTCTGAACTGTTGTTGAATATTTCTTACAAATAAACTGTTTCTTTTAAACTGCAAATATCTTAAAAGTTATCAGTTGAAATAACTTGAAAGTATCTAACATCCAACATTCAGTCCACGGCCGTCTAGTCTTACCTGGATCTCAAAATGTCAAATGACCCTCGAAATGTCAAGAGCCACTATCAGCCTCTATAGAAACACACTCGTACACACATCGACAGCTGGCTGCTCCTCACTCGCTCGATCTCACATTCCCGCGAACAAACAACACACACACATCCAAGTTTTAGTTTGGAGATAGTTGTTGCCATGACGCGTCGCTATGGGGAGTGGAAGAAATCTCTCAGGATACAGATTATCTGTCCTAGACACACGCACGCACACACACGCACGCACACACACGCATGCACACACACACAGAGAGAGATGTTTGTTAATTAGCCAGAGGGGGTTAGGGACCACGAGTGTGTTTCTCTTTCATTGTCTTTATCTATCCCTAATTATTTGTCCTTTACTTCCCTCTTTCTCTCTCACCCTTCCTGACCAACCTCTCTCCCTCTTTTTCTCTCACCCTTCCTGACCAACACCTCTCTCCCTCTTTTTCTCTCACCCTTCCTGACCAACACTTCCTGACCAACACATCTCTCCCTCTTTCTCTCACCCTTCCTGACCAACACATCTCTCCCTCTTTCTCTCTCACTCTTCCTGACCAACACCTCTCTCCCTCTTTCTCTCTCACCCTTCCTGACCAACACCTCTCTCCCTCTTTCTCTCTCACCCTTCCTGACCAACACCTCTCTCCCTCTTTTTCTCTCACCCTTCCTGACCAACACATCTCTCCCTCTTTCTCTCTCACCCTTCCTGACCAACACCTCTCTCCCTCTTTTTCTCTCACCCTTCATGATCAACACCTCTCTCCCTCTTTCTCTCTCACCCTTTCTGATCAACACCTCTCTCCCTCTTTCTCTCTCACCCTTCCTGACCAACACCTCTCTCCCTCTTTTCTCTCACCCTTCCTGATCAACACATCTCTCCCTCGTTCTCTCTCACCCTTCCTGACCAACACCTCTCTCCCTCTATCTCTCTCTCTCTCTCTCTCTCCCTCTTTCACTCTCACCCTTCCTGATCAACACCTCTCTCCCTCTTTCTCTCACACCCTTCCTGACCAACACCTCTCTCTCTCTCTCTCTCTCTCTCTCTCTCTCACCCTTCCTGACCAACACCTCCCCCCCCCTCTCTCTCTCTCTCTCTCTCTCTCTCTCTCTCTCGCTCTCTCTCTCTCTCTCTCACCCTTCCTGACCAACACCTCTCTCCCTCTTCTCTCTCACCCTTCCTGACCAACACCTCTTTCCCTCTCTCTCTCTCACCCTTCCTGATCAACACATCTCTCCCTCTCTCTCTCACCCTTCCTGACCAACACCTCTCTCTCTCTCTCTCTCGCTCTCTCACCCTTCCTGACCAACACCTCTCTCCCTCTCTCTCCCTACACATGAGTTTGTTATCAACATGAAATGTTGCTATGAATGTGTTTGTGTGTTGTGTCCTATCTAGGTACCCTGCAGTACATGGCTCCAGAGATCATAGACAAGGGTCCTCGGGGTTACGGGGCTCCAGCTGACATCTGGTCGTTGGGCTGCACCATCATAGAGATGGCCACTGGGAAACCCCCCTTCCACGAGCTGGGAGAGCCTCAGGCTGCCATGTTTAAGGTGCGTGTGTGGGTGTGTGTTTGTGTGTGTGTATGTGTGTGTGTGTGTGTGTTCGTTTTGATGTGCTCCAAGACTCATTATGTGACTGGTTCAAACCTGTGTCTCCTGCATGTTATAAGACTTTGTTAGCCAGCTGAGCTAAAGCCTGAAGTGAAGGCATCAAGTGAGCGTGATTCATCAAACCACCTGTTACACTTTACATTCAGCTCAGTGTTTGTTTGCGTGTGTGTGTGTATGCGTGTGTGTGTGCGTGTGTAGGTGGGGATGTTTAAGATCCACCCAGAGATCCCAGAGTCGTTGTCGTTGGAGGCCAAGTCATTTATCCTGCGTTGTTTTGAGCCTGACCCCAATAAGAGGGCTACAGCCACAGACCTGCTCAAAGATATCTTCGTACGACACAATGTCAAGGGAAAGAAGAGCAAGATCGCCTTCAAGCCATCAGGTAGGGCTGTTCAGCATTGTGTGTGTCTGTGGTGTGTGTGTGTGTGTGTGTGTGTGTGTGTGTGTGTGTGTGTGTGTGTGTGTGTGTGTGTGTGTGTGTGTGTGTGTGTGTGTGTGTGTGTGTGTGTGTGTGTGTGTGTGTGTGTGTGTGTGTGTGTGTGTGTGTGTGTGTCTGGGGTGTGTGTGTGTCTGTGGGGTGTGTGTGTGTGTGTGTTTGCTAATAAATTAATGGGTGATTTAACCGTTTAATCCACTCAGATTGTTTTCATGACGTCACTGAAATGCTGCACCTCATACAAATCATAACACACACACACATACATACATACACACAGACACACACACACACACACACACACACACTGGCAGACATATGGTGATGTGATGGAGGTTGTGTTAACGGTTAACTGTCTCTTTCTCTCCTGTCTACTCCTGGGATCTTTTTGCCAGTGTGGCAAGGTTTGTTCCCTGTTAACATTGTGGCTGTTTCTATATATACTGAACAAAAATATAAATGCAACATGTAAAGTGTTGGTCCCATGTTTCATAAGCTGAAATAAAAGATCCCAGAGATTTTCCATACGCACAAAAAGCTTATTTATCTCACATTTTTGCACACATTTCTTTACATCCCTGTCAGTGAGCATTTCTCTTTTGCTAAGATAATCCATCCACGTGACAGGTGTGGCATATCAAGAAGCTGATTAAACAGCATTATCATTGCACAGGTGAAAATAAAAGGCCACTCTAAATGTGCAGTTTTGTAACACAACACAATGCTACAGATGTCTCAAGTTTTGAGGGAGTGTGCAATTGGCATGCTGATTGCAGGTATGTCCACCAGAGCTGTTGCCAGATAATTGAATCTTCATTTCTCTACCATAAGCCGCCTCCAATGCCGTTTTAGAGAATTTGGCAATACATCCAACTGGCCTCACAACCGCAGACCACGTGTAACCACGCCTGCCCAGGACCTCCACATCCGGCTTCTTCACATGCGGGATCGTCTGAGACCAGCCAGTCGGACAGCTGATGAAACTGTGGGTTTGCACGACAAAATAATTTCTACAAAAACTGTCAGAAACCGTCTCAGGGAAGCTCATCTGCGTGCTCGTTGTCCTCACCAGGGTCTTGACCTGACTGCAGTTCGGCTTCGTAACTGACTTCAATGGGCAAATTCTCACCTTCGATGGCCACTGGAATGCTGAAGAAGTGTGCTCTTCACGGATTAATCCTGGCTTCAACTGTACCGAGCAGATGTCATACAGGTGTATGGCGTTGTGTGGGCAAGCGGTTTGCTGATGTCAACGTTGTGAACAGAGTGTCCCATGGTGGTGGTGGGGTTATGGTATGGGCAGGCATACGCTACGGACAACAAACACAATTGCCTTTTAATGATGGCAATTTGAATGCACAGAGATACCGTGATGAGGTCCTGAGGCCCATTGTCGCACCATTCATCCGCTGCCATCACCACATTTTTCATCAAGATAATATACGATCCCATGTCGCAAGGATCTGTCCAGCTCTTCCATTGCCTGCATACTCACCAGACATGTCACCCATTGAGCATGTTTGGGATGCTCTGGATCGACATGTACGAACGACAGCGTGTTCCAGTTCCCACCAATATCCAGCAACATTGCACAGCCATTGAAGAGGAGTGGGACAACATTCCACAGGCCACAATCAACAGCCTGATCAACTCTATGCGAAGAAGATGTGTCGCGCTGCATGAGGCAAATGGTGGTCACACCAGATACTGACTGGTTTTCTGATCCACACCACTACCTTTGTATTTTAAGTATCTGTGACCAAAAGATGCATATCTGTATTCCCAGTCATGTAAAATCCATAGATTAGGGCCTAATGAATTCATTTAAATTGACTGTTTCCTTATATGAACTGTAAAATCTTTGACATTGTTGCATGTTGCATTTATATTTTTGTTCAGTGTGTGTGTATAGCATGTTTGACTATATGTCTGTGGTGATGTCTACATGTATCTGTGAGTGTTTGTTATCAGCGTATTATTCTATCTGTTTCTGCTAAAGCAGGGTCCCGTCAGCACATTTTTGTTACAGCCCAACAATATCACACCTGAGTAGTTAAACCCGGTGTGATAGTGTTGGTATGGTATACAAATTTGTCGGCTTGGAAAGACTTGAAAATACCTGCTATTATGTCCTTATCGTTGCCAAGCAGTCTGATATATGTCTCTATCTCAACTGTTGACATGGGAATATGCCCTGAGTCAGTAAGGCTAAATAGCTAAAGCTAGCTGATAGCTAAACAATATAAGTAGCTAGTTAACTAAAAAAGCTAGCCAACCAGTTCTCTTGATTAAGGGGGTTCTCTTACACTATGGGTGTGTGTGTTTGTGTGTATTGGCCAGACTACATCCGTAGTGTGTCGCTGCCGGTGCAGTTACAGTGTGAGGCCACCGGGAGCAGCAGCAGCGAGCCTGGCTCAGTGAGTCCAGACTGCGACTCCAAACAGGACGTCTTCTTTCAGAAGAACAAACGATCAGGGTCAGAAAACCTGCTCAAACCACCTAGCAACAACTACCTAAGGTACACATAAACACATACACTTCAGGTGTAGAGATGTGAGTTTCTAATGTGTGTGTGTGTGTGTGTGTGTGTGTGTGTGTGTGTGTGTGTGTGTGTGTGGCAGGTGGTCGTTATCTGATCCTGCTCTAATGCCTTTTACAGCATCCGTCTAATGCCTTGTGGTGACTTTTACAACCTCCAGAACACACACACACTCAGTGTGCCATGCAGCCAGGAAACCTTTGTATGTGTAAACACAACTGAAGTCACACCGGGGTTACACACACACACCAATACCAACACACACACACTTCAATTACCTCGTACCCCTGCACACCATATATACAGCCACGTTATCGTTTCTCATTATTCCAAGTCTTATTCTTTTTATTTTTTTAAATCTTATTTTTTCTCTCAGAATTGTTGTAAGTATTTCACTGTTAGTCTGTTGCTTACGAAGATGTGACAAATACCAACACACATTGTCCAACAGTAAGATAGCATGTCATTATTATATATGAATGTCATTGTATTGGTCAGTGTACCGGAAGGGTCGTGTGGGACGTTAGCTTTGGTTTAGAAACTAATTGGGCTTTCTGCTCAGAAGGGAGGAGCATTCATAGGGTGTGTGGGGGGGGGGGGGGGGGGGGGGGGTGTTGTGTTGTTCGATAATAAAATACCCAAGAAACACTTCGTCCCTACAAGCATACATTCTCTCTACATTAATATGAATTCATTGCTGTCGTGTACCGGAATGGCATTACAGGTCCGTCCGAGGACTACTCTCCTGCTCTCTAAAGCAGATGGAGCTCTTCCTGCTCAAAAGGACAGGAGAGACTCCTCCTCTAAAGTTTGAACGTCTGCGTGTCGCTACATTGAATGTGAACGCGGCGGCAAGGCAGTGTAGCGTGCTGTCTTAAAAATTCAGATAACATCTCTCTCCTCTACAATGCATTAACACTCTCTCCTACAATTAATTAACATATCTCTCCTCACAATTCATTAACATCTCTCTCCTCACAATTCATTAACATCTCTCTCCTCTACAATTCATTAACATCTCTCTCCTCTACAATTCATTAACATCTCTCTCCTCTACAATGCATTAACATCTCTCTCCACTACAATTAATTAACATCTCTCTCCTCTACAATTCCTTAACATCTCTCTCCTCTACAAGGTCCTAAATGAGGACCAGGACAAAGTCATCTCCAACCTCCTGGAGAACCACATACAGGTGTGTGTGTGTGTGTATGTGAGAGAGAGAGAGAAAATAAATACAATTGTACATTGATTAAAGAAAGAGCAACCAGATATTGCCATAATCTTCTGCTTCTCTCTCCCTCTGTGTGCGTGTGTGTGTATGTGCGTGTGTGTGTATGCACGCGTGTGTGTGTATGCGCGTGTGCGTGTGTGTGTGTGTAGGGTAGTGAGGAGCTGCAGCTCTCTGTGGACCACATTAAACAGATAATCTGTATCTTGAGAGATTTCATCCACTCCCCGGAGCGACGCGTCATGGCAACAACCATCTCCAAACTCAAACTGGACCTAGACTTCGACTCCACATCCATTAACCAGATACAACTTGTTCTTTTCGGCTTCCAGGACTCAGTGAGAACACACACATGCGCACACACATACAGTGCATTCGGAAAGTATTCAGACCCCTTTACTTTTTCAACCTTTTGTTATGTTATAATTAGGCTGTCAAATGATTAAATTTGTAATCAAATTAATCAGAGTTTAGTGGATTATCATGACATCACTATTTGCAATTACACCTGATCCTAACCATTTTTTTCTGAAATGCATCCAAAAGATAAATACGGACAGATCATAATTTCATATTATTCTGTTTTACACAGCCATATGGTTTTAAATCAAGGAAATACTACAACATATTTGTTTTGTAATGTTCCTCACTCTCTGGATTCCTCTACCAGATGTACAATTACAATCAATTGAAAGAAAGCATAATGTAGTCAAATCATACGTGACCACCACTTTTTGCACAATTGAGTCATCTGTGGAAAAAAACATTTTCATAAAACTTTTAAATCAAACCAAAGAACAATATTTTACCTTTTCCTCCATTCTTTAATCCAGTTGCTCAAAAATCCAGTTGCTAACTACTATAACATGTTGCACTGAAACTGGTCTTTTTGTTTGAACATCACCTTTCAAATCTACTGAGCTTCATCATCTTTCAGCCAGTTGCTGAGGCAAACTAACTTGTTCACATTTTCTGAAAGTAAAGCTGACCTTTTCTTGTTCACAATGTGACCTGCAACTGAGAAAAGTCGTTCACAGGGAACAGTGGTTGCAGGAGTGGCTAGATATCAAATTATCTGAGGTTGATTTTGTTAATTGCCTGCAAACATTCAGCGTGGTCTGGCGCAAACCACTTGCTGAATCTGACGGCCCAGCAAACGCATGTTTGGCGTTGACATGGTACTTCAAGCTTGAAACAGCTCCGGTGAAATTGAAACTCCTTCTTACAAATCTTGCAAATAACCTTGTACTTGTTAACTGTACCATCATCATTCTTTTTATATTTGAATCCGTCAATAGGCCCACTTTATATATAATGGTCCTCTGTAGGCTCAATTGGTAAGCAAATGGTCCTCTGTAGCTCAATTGGTATAGAGCATGGCGTTGTAACGCAGGGTAGTGGATTCGATCCCTGGAACCACCCATACTTAAAAATGTATGCACACATGACTGTTAAGTCCGTGCCTTTGGATAAAAGCGTTCTGCTAAATGGCATATTATATTATATTACATTATGTTACAGCCTTATTCTAAAATGGAATAAATGTTTTTTTCCCCTCATCAATCTACACACAATACCCCCCTACTGACAAAGCAAAAAAACCATTTTTTTAGGAAATGTGTGCACCATTTATTTACAAATAAAAAACGGAAATATCACATTTACAAAAGTATTCAGACCCTTTACTAAGTACTTTGTTGAAGCACCTTTGGCAGTAATAACAGCCTAGAGTCTTGGGTATGATGCTACAAGCTTGGCACACCTGTATTTGGGGAGTTTCTCTCATTCTTCTCTGCAGATCCTCTCAAGCTCTGTAAGGTTGGATGGGGAGCGTTGCTGCACAGCTATTTTCAGATCTCTCCAGAGATGTTTGATCGGGTTCAAGTCCGGGCTCTGGCTGGGCCACTCAAGGACATTCAGAGGATTTTCCCGAAGCCACTCCTGCGGTCGTTGTCCTGTTGGAAGATGAACCTTCGCCTCAGTCTGAGGTCCTGAGTGCTCTGGAGCAGGTTTTAATCAAGGATCTCTCTGTACTTTGCTCCATTCATCTTTCCCTCGATCCTGACTAGTCTCCCAGTCCCTACCGCTGAAAAAACATCCCCACAGCATGATGCTGCCACCACCATGATGCTGCCACCGTGATGCTGCCACCGTGGTCCTCTGTAGCTCAATTGATAGAGCATGGCGCTTGTAACGCCAGGGTAGTGGGTTCGATCCCCGGGACCACCCATACGTTAAAATAATGTATGCGCACATGACTGTAAGTCGCTTTGGATAAAAGCGTCTGCTAAATGGCATATTATTATTATTACCATGCTTCACCGTAGGGATGGTGCCAGGCTTCCTCTAGACGTGATGCTTGGCATTCAGGCCAAAGAGTTAAATCTTGGTTTCATCAGGCCAGAGAATCTTGTTTTTTGGTACCCTTCCCCAGATCTCCTGCTCGGAGCTCTACGGACAATTCCTGCGACCTCATGGCTTGGTTTTTGCTCTGACATGCACTGTCAACTATGGGACATTATATAGACAGGTGTGTGCCTTTCCAAATCATGTCCAATCAATTGAATTTACCACAGGTGGACTCCAATGAAGTTGTAGAAACATCTCAAGGATGATCAATAGAAACAGGATGCACCTAAGCTCAATTTCGAGTCTCATAGCAAAGGGTCTGAATACATATGTAAATAAGGTATTTCTGTATTTTATTTTTAATACATTTGCAAACATTTCTAAAAACCTGTTTTCGCATTGTCATTATGGGGTATTGTGTGTAGATTGATGAGATTTTTATTTTATTTAATCCATTTTAGAATAACGCTGTAAAGTAACAAAATGTGGAAAAAGTCAAAGGGTCTGAATACTTTCCGAATGCAGTGTACGCAGGACTACTCTGAATAATGGTAGCATCCACATTAATGTAGAAGTGTTTAAAAAACATTCTATTATTGTTTACAATAAAAGTGACTCCAAAATGACACAATACATTATTTACCATTTTTATTGGGCACAAAATAATCTGAAACACAACCAAAACTAACAGCAAATACATCCAACAAGTTTGTAGAGGCACAAGCTTGATGTAATCGCTGTACTTTAATACACATATACAGTGCTGTGAAAAAGTATTTGCCCCTTTCTGATTTTCTCTATTTTTCAAAAAAAAATTTTTTTTTATTCTGAATGTTATCAGATCTTCAAACAAAACCTAATAGATAAAGGGAATTTTTATTTATTTATTTAATTAACACATTTATGCAACACCCAATTCCCCTGTGTGAAAAAAGTAATTGCCCCCTTACACTCAATAACTGGTTGTGCCACCTTTACCTGCAATGACTGCAACCAAATGCTTCCTGTAGTTGTTGTTCAGTCTCTCACATTGCTGTGGAGGGATTTTGGCCCAGAAAACTCAGCGACATTTGTGGGTTTTCAAGCATGAACTGCTCTTTTACACTACCACAACCATCCTTGACCGTTGGTATAAAGATCTTACTGTGGAATGCAGTGTTTGGTTTTCGCCAGGCATAATGGGACCCATGTCGTCCAAAAAGTTATACTTTTTACTCATCTGTCCATAGAACATTCTTCCAAGAGTCTTGATGATCATCCAGGTGTTTCCAGGTGCTTTTTGGCAAACTTGAGTCAACTTTTTGGACAAAATGGGTCCCATTATTATGAGACTTATCAACAACTACAGGAAGCATTTGGTTGCAGTCATTGCAGCTAAAGGTGGCACAACCAGTTATTGAGTGTAAGGGGGCAATAACTTTTTTACACAGGGGAATTGGGTGTTGCATACCTTTGTTAATTAAATAAATAAAATAATTATACATTTTTGTTGTTATATGTAAACTCAGGTTCCCTTGATCTAATTTTAGGTTTTGGTTGAAGATCTGATAACATTCAGTACAAAAATATGCTAAATAAAGAAAATCAGAAAGGGGGCAAATACTTTTTCACAGCACTGTAAGGGGGGACTAAAGTGGTATCATTTCTAAACGGTTTCCCCGATTCGAATGAAAATACCTTCAAATGAAAGCTGACAGTCTGCACTTTAACCCCATAGTCAAATCCAAAGGGCTGGAGTACAGAGCCAAAACAACAAAAATGTGTCACTGTCCCAATACTTTTGAAGCTCACTGTGCGTTTGTGTGTGTGTGTGTGTGTGTGTGTGTGTGTGTGTGTGTGTGTGTGTGTGTGTGTGTGTGTGTGTGTGTTCAAGGTGAACAAGGTCTTGAGGAACCATCATATTAAACCTCACTGGATGTTTGCTATGGACAACATCATCAGACGAGCAGTACAGGCTGCAGTCACCATCCTCATACCAGGTGTGTGGGGTCACTGCTAAAGCGCTCAATAAAAATAGTTGCTGGAGAAAAAAACTTGATGAATTGTAGCAACCTAACCCTTCACCCCTGACCTTTAACCCTCCCTGTAGAGCTCCAGACCCACTTCGGCCCGGCCTCGGAGAGCGAGGGACCAGATAAGGAGGAGGAGGAAGAGGAAGAGGAGGCAGAGTTTGGCCCTGTATTGGTCACGCCTCCAGACGACCCTGCTGTGACCCCCAACCCCGTGGTGACCTCAGCAGTCAGCACGCTCAGCTCCGCCCTCTCCTCCCCTCCTCCGCCTCAGCGCTCACAGCCTCTCGGAGCCCAGCTGGGACGGCTCAAACAGGAGACCAACCGGTGTGTGTGTGTTTGTGTGTGTGTTCTCACTGAGTCCTGGAAGCCAAACAGAATCAGTTGTATCACACACACATACACACACACAGATAAATACTGTATAGTGTATACACATACACACATACCAACAAAGAGAGGCTGACGGACTTGCTAAAGGCTATTTTTGAAGAAGGTTTCGATTTGATGTTGATAAAGGGTTGTCTTACCTACTTAAAATAAATGAACCTAAGTGCTTCTAGATAAGAGGGCTTGATGAGTAGCAGATGATGAATGAAGTGGCCTTGTAGGGCCTCGAGCCTCAGTAATGTAGTGTAATATAATAAATATGTGGAATGGCTGTCCTGTTCTGCCCCCTGCAGGTTGTTGGAGGAACTGCTGCACAGGGAGAGAGAGTACCAGCAGGTCCTGAAGACAACACTACAGCAGAGACAACATGACCTGGAGCTGGTCAGGGTCAGACACAGACCCCCAGGTACACACACACACACTGGTATCCCTGGTAATTTCTCTCTCCTCCTATCTCTCTCTCCAACTCTCTTTTTATTTTTCAGACGTTCCTCCTCCCTCTATCTTCCAAGTCCCAGTTGACCAGGTGCCCGATAAGCAGCTCACTGATTGGCTGAAAGACCAGAGTGCGGATGCAGACACCATAGACAAGGTTGGTCCATCTACATTGTGTTTGTGTTGTGGGTCCATGAGGGAAATTGCCACGGGGGATGAGGGGACATGTCCCCGCCAATATTCATAACAGGTCCATTCCCCCCCAATAATTTATTTAAAATAAAAAAATGGGTTGGGGGCCCTCCAGATAGCATATGAACACGTCATAAGCAATGGCAAAATGTGTAGAATTGCAGGAAATTACCTTTAACAGTCAAATTTGAGCACGAAAAACTAACTAGTAACTCCTCCAGTATGTGTTGACATCATTTCACAGGATATGTTTTTGAACGGAAGCTGTAGAGATCGGTAAGGAAGGGCACTTCTGTAGCCAAATATCTAATTCATCCATAGGCATTAAATGACCTGGTATGATGGTGCATTTATCAGTTATACAGTTTAAATATGCTATCTTTGCATTTTTGCACAAAGTAGATCTTTAAAGTAACTGTCCAATGTTTCCAGATTTCTATGAAATATGACCTATAATTAATTACAAAATGAGTGAAATTGTTTTCCTTCACAAAAAAATGCAATTAAGTATGTTAAAAAACATATTTTCTGTGTTGGAATGGTGTGGGCATGCCCCAACAATAGAATGGTGTTGGCCTATACCGGTCAATAACAATATTAATGCCAGTAGACTGCTGATTGGCCAGCTCATCCTCCTCAGGAGGATGGCATCATCCTCTATGAGGAAATAGAAATAACTTTTTAAATGTCTGTTTGAGGTGGGGGTTTTTGAGGTGGGGTTTTTGAAGTGTTTTTTTCTCCAATTTATGCTTTGGCCACAAATACCAGTATAGGATGAGTTAACAGAATAATAACTTTTAAAAGTGAGATTTTCACTGGACAGTTACTTTAAAACTGCAACATTTCGATCACCTTCATGGCAAAATGTGTAGAGTATCAGGAAATTAGCTTTAAAACTGCAAAATGTTCTCTCATCCTCATGGTAAAAGTTAAGAATAGCATGAGATGAGCTATAAAACAGCACATTTTCCTCTCTGCCCCATGGCAAAATTTATAGAATTGCAGGAATTTAGCTTTAAAACTGCAACATTTTCTCTCAGACTCATGACAAAATGTGAAAACAGCATTATAAAACTGCAACAAAAAAAAACTCCACTTATACTGTGTTTTCAAAATACCCCTCTATACTGTATACCCCTCGAAATAACCATCAAGAGAGGGATAATAAGTCAGGTCATACTGTGTAGAATTGCAGGAAATGTGTTTTATAAATGTAAAAACTAATTCTGGAGGAGGACCCCTGTCTACCCCTGTCTACTGTCAACCCCCCCCCCATATGTTTATATATCAGTTATGTAGTTGAGTTGTAGTATGGTTTAGAGGAGGCTGGTGAGAGGAGCTATAGGAGGATGGGCTCATTGTAATGGCTGGAATGGAATACATTTTATTTAACCTTTATTTTATCAAGGAGTCATACTGAGACCAAGGTCTCTTTTACAGATGAGCCCTGAATTAAATTCATTACAGAAAATACACACATCAATATCAATATAAATATAAAGACAAAATGCAAGCAGAAAGAAAGAAAAGTGAATGGTATTACATACATCAAACGTATGGAAACCACATCTTTGACTCTGTTTCATTTAGCCATTCCAGCCATTACAATGAACCCGTCCTCCTATAGCTCCTCCCACCAGCCTCCTCTGGTATGGTTGTATACTGGTTATAGTATGGTTCTATGTAGTTGATTTTTCTGTCTCAGTTTGTAATGGAGGAGTACACGCTGAGCGATGTCCTTAATGATGTCACTAAGGAGGACCTACGCTACCTACGCCTACGGTAACTACTGTGTTTGTGTGTGTGTATGTATCATCACATAGTAGGACCTGTGGCAACACACTTTAAGTAATACTGTATTTTTGTTTTTCTCTCTCTCTCTCCGTGTGTGTGTGTGTGTGTGTGTGTGTGTGTGTGTGTGTGTGTGTGTGTGTGTGTGTGTGTGTGTGTGTGTGTGTGTGTGTGTGTGTGTGTGTGTGTGTGTGTGTGTGTGTGTGTGTGTGTGTGTGTGTGTGTGTGTGTGTGTGTGTGTGTGTGTGAAGGGGTGGGGTGCTGTGTCGTATCTGGCGGGGTATCCAGAGGCACAGAGAGCGAGAGAGGCTGACAAGGGATGACCCCAAAGATGACGGATGATGGGATACATGAACTATGACTGCCTTAACACGCACACACACACACACACACACACACACACACAGAAACAGAATGAATAGAATGGGCGTCCATATTCAAGCTTTGGCCATATTCAAGTCAATTATGGCATAATGGGTGGGCAGACGGCCATTGCAAGTGTACCCATAGGAGCAAAGCAGGAAGTGAAAGCAGGAAGTGTACCCATCAATCTGTGCTGTGATTTGTTGAATCAACTCAACTGACATTACAAAAAAATACATTCCATGAGCCATATCAGTTAGCATCATTTGAATGAACATTCTATATTACCATGGAAATTATTGCATCACAATACCAGGCAGCCATTCCGAGTGTACCCTTTAAATTACCAGTAAAATTGCCAGGGTTAGAGGTTCTAAACCCATTCTATTTCTATGCATACATACACACACACAGACCAGACTGTTGTGTGTGTGTGAGATTGAGTGTGTGATTGAGTGTGTGTGTGTGTGTGTGTGTGTGTGTGTGTGTGTGTGTGTGTGTGTGTGTGTGTGTGTGTGTGTGTGTGTGTGTGTGTGTGTGTGTGTGTGTGTGTGTGTGTGTGTGTGTGTGTGTGTGTGTGTGTGTGTGTGTGTGTGTGTGTGTGTGTGTGTGTGTGTGTGTGTTATGTACACCACACGTGCTTCTTAGGTTTTGTCCCATGCCAAATTCTGCCTGCTCATTGGTCCTGTATTGTACCAGGAAGTTTGTGGCCCTAGCCAAGAGAGGCAGTGGGCATTTAGTTACACACACACAACCAGACAACCAGTCTATAATGTAGTGTTTATTTTCTTGGTCTTTCTAATTCTGTATAGTGAGGTGGTCTATAGTGTAGAACTGTGTTTGTAGTTAGCACAGGTGTGTGGCTATTCATGTTTTAGTGCAGGTGTGTTCATGTATCAGATGTATTAATGTGATTTCAATGTGTTACTATAAAGGTGCAATATGCAAGATTTACAGCTGTTCTATGGTCATTTCAATAAATTATATATACTCATTGATTCTTGATGATAATAACGTATAGCCTAAATCCTGCATGAGCTGCCTTACTTACCCCATCATAACCCAAAATAAGCCTGTACTTGCATAATATTAAGAAACTATGTGGTAACCATGAATACTTTCTGGTACGTTTTTGTTCTGAGGGTTAACGAGAGATTAACCCTGAGATAAACATTGACTAGAGTTCTGAAGAGCAAACACACGCACTCGGAAAGGGAAACTCCTGTGGAAAACATACCCCACACTCTGTTAACACACATCTACAGTATAACCCTGAGTTCAGCTGCACTCATTAACAGAGATAACACACAGTTCACAAAATAGATCAAGTAAGTTCAGATCTATAAAATGCAGACAGATATAGGGTGAAGATCAGAGATCTGGTTGATGGTGTTGGTATGATGTCAGTAGCAGGGCGTAGTGGTAGAAAATGTCGGTAAACGCTGAACACCAGTCCAGATGACAGGCGGTAAGTAAAGCTAATGCTGATTTGGTGTAGTACGTGCATGAATGCTATTCACTAAACAAAAAGGTGAATAAAGGTGCTTCCCCTGCATTACATCCCTGTGTGTCCAGAGTTATAAAAAGCCACACAGTCCTTATTTGTGTTACTATTTTTAGCCCTAGAACTCTGTGGTTTTTTATAGAATATCGTGATGTTGTAAGAATGCCTCTGATAACACTGATACAATCTCTTCCTGCTGCTGATGATCATTGATCAACTATCTCTCTCTGGATCTGATTACGCTCTGCTCTGACCTTGGGTGATTATCATCCATTGTGTGTGTTTGTGTGTGTGTGTGTGTGTGTGTGTGTGTGTGTGTGTGTGTGTGTGTGCGTGTGTGTGTGTGTGCGCGTGTTTAACTATTCTTGTGGGGACCAGAAGTGCCCACAAGAATAGTAAACTAACAAAAAATGTGACCAACTGGGGACATTTTGTTGGTCCCCACAAGGTCAAATGCTAGGTTAGAATTAGTGGTAGGGTTAGAATTAGGGTTAGGGTTAGGTGCTAGGGTTAGGTTTAGGGTTAGGGTTAGGTGTTTGGGTTAATGTACGAGTGTGTGTGTGTGTGTGTGTGCGCGTGCGTGTGTGCGTGTGGTCGCAATGTGTCTAGGCCTTATAAAGGACTTATGGTGTAGAGCTGTGGTTTACTGGGTAACACTTCTGGCTCTATACATTAGTATGATTCCCCACTGGAGACTGTGGTTCAATCCCTGAGTCCACCACTCACACTTTGTCTCCTCCTAACCTCTCACCCTCTCTTTTTCTGATCTATCTGGAATAAATCTAAAACATATACACTACCAGTCAAAAGTTTGGACACATCTACTCATTCAAGGGTTTTTCTTTATTTTTACAATTTTTTACATTGTAGAATAATAGTGAAGATATCAAAACTATGAAATAACACATATGGAATCATGTAGTAACCAAATAGCCACCCTTTGCCTTGATGACAGCTTTGCACACTCTTGCACACTCTATTTGAAGAATCTAAAATAAAAATATATATTTAGATATGTTTAACACTTTTTTGGTTACTGCATGATTCCATATGTGTTATTTCATAGTGTTGATGTCTTCACTATAATTCTAAAATAGTAAAAATAAAGAAAAACCCTTGAATGAGTAGGTGTGTCCAAACTTTTGACTGGTACTGTATGTAAGGAGAATCTCCACTCGCCTATAATAAGAATAAAGGCCTATGAAGGTCATCATTAAGTGTCACCATATCTGTTGAGAATAGAGACAGCAGTCTGACGCTGACAGCAGAATGCTGCTGACTGACAGTTATTCCTAGATAGCTCAGCTTTTATAGCCTGTACAAGGAAATGCAGGTCCTCTGTCTAAAGTTTCCAATGTTGGCCAACCAGAACGTTCCCTACACTGTTTGGATTGTGCATTCACTCTTAATCACGCCTACACAGGTAAGAGTTCAGGTGAGTCCACCTACACAGGTAAGATTGCGTCACGTTGCAGAACCAGTGTTCAAACTACTAATTCACACACACACACACTGTGTGGAGGAGGAATGATACAAGAATACGTTGTAGGCTATAAACACGTCTAGCAGCATGTTAAATCAGCCACTGTCACCTGACCCCATGACATGAAACTGAACATGACATTAATCCTTAAAAGTCCATTGATGCACCGGTGCAAGTAACATAATAAAAAAATCACCAGCAAAATCAGTAAATTTAAGCTAGACATACACTACATGACCAAAAGTATGTGGGCACCTGCGCGTCGAACATCTCATTCCAAAATCATGGACATGAATATGAAGTTGGTCCCCCCTTTGCTGCTATAACAGCCTCCACTCTTCTGGGAAGGCTTTCCACTAGATGTTGGAACATTGCTGCGGGGACTTGCTTCCATTCAGCCACAAGAGCATTCGTGAGGTCAGGCACTTATGTTGGGCGATTAGGCCTGGCTGGCAGTCGGCGTTCCAATTCATCCCAAAGGTGTTCAATGGGGTTGAGGTCAGGGCTCTGTGCAGGCCAGTCAAGTTCTTCCACACCGATCTCGACAAACCATTTCTGTATGGACCTCGCTTTGGGCACTGGGTCATTGTCATGCTGAAACAGGTAAGGGCCTTCCCCAAACTGTTGCCATGAAGTTGGAAGCACAGAATCGTCTAGAATGTCATTGTATGCTGTAGCGTTAAGATTTCCCTTCATTGGAACTAACGGGCCAAGCCCGAACCATGAAAAACAGACCCAAACCATTATTCCCCCTCCACCAAACTTTACAGTTGGCACTATGCATTGGGGCAGGTAGCGTTCTCCTGGCATCCGCCAAACCCAGATTTGGACGTCGGTGGTTGAGATGGTGAAGCTTGATTCATCACTCCATAGAACGCGTTTCCACTGCTCCAGAGTCCAATGGCGGCGAGCTTTACACCACTCCAGCCAACCCTTGGCATTGCGCATGGTGATCTTAGGCTTGTGTGCAGCTGCTCGGCCATGGAAATCCCTTTCATGAAGCTCCCAGACGAACAGTTCTTGTGCTGACGTTGCTTCCAGAGGCAGTTTGGAATTCAGTATTGAGTGTTGCAACTGAGGACAGACGATTTTTACGCGCTACGTGCTTCAGCACTCGGTGGTCCCATTCTGTGAGCTTGTGTGGCCTACCACTTCGCGGTTGAGCCACTGTTGCTCCTAGACGTTTCCACTTCACAATAACAGCACTTACAGTTGACCATGGCAGCTCTAGCAGGGCAGAAATGTGACGAACTGACTTGTGGGAAAGGAGTTATCCTATGACGGTGCCACATTGAAAGTCACTGAACTCTTCAGTAAGGCCATTCTAGTGCCAATGTTTGTCTGTGGAGATTGCATGGCTGTGTGCTCGATTTTATAAACCTGTCAGCAACGGGTGTGGCTGAAATAGCCGAATCCACTAATTTGAAGGGGTGTCCACATACTTTTGTATATATTGTATCAAGCTTTTTGCATGGGCTGCGTCTCAATCCACCGCGTCCGACTATGGCTGCCTTCCGCATTTGCGGTGGAAGGTGGCCGAGCTACAGCAGTGTTTGTCAGACCGTGAGACATCCCGAAAATCGGTCTTCTCACAAAACGTCTGTAGCATCCGAACGGTTTGGCCTCCACAAGTTTCAAGGGACTCATATGAAGGTAAGCCATACAAACGAATGGAAGTATGGAGGTAGTTTTGTGCTGATAAAAATAAGTGGTTAAATATATGTCAAATATGTGTAAAAATATATATATATATATTTCCTGAGCTTTCTTATATCTCCTAGATATAGGACAGACACTTCAAAACCTTATGATTGATTTTTTGACTGTCTTTTTTGCCATTTATGAATGCGTTATTCAATGCGTTTCTATGGGATATAGTAGTAGGCCAAATTAAATATATACTGTATATTGTTTTATACCTAAAGGGGTACTAAAATTCACAATCAAATAGCTAAATGATAATAATATAATAATATGCCATTTAGCAGACGCTTTTATCCAAAGCGACTTACAGTCATGCGTGCATACATTTTTGTGTATGGGTGGTCCCGGGGATCGAACCCACTACCTTGGCGTTACAAGCGCCGTGGTCTACCAGCTGAGCTACAGAGGACCACATGATCCATGGCATGACCATCTTAAAACAATTAAATGTTAGCTTAGTACCCACCCTAGGCTTTTAGAGGTTAAACTGATCAAACCCAAACCGGATGAACATACCCCCAACCTCTGTCAGAAGCTTACTCTTCAGTCTTAACTGACGTCTAATTGGATGGGTAGAACAGGGCTGCCCAATCCTGATCCTGGAGGGCCGAAACACTTCTGGTTTTCATCCTCTCCTTCTAATAAGGGACTAATTCAGACCTGGGACACCAGGTGAGTGAAATTAACTACCAGGTAGAAACAAAAACCAGAAGTGTTTCGGCCCTCCAAGACCAGAATTGGGCAGCCCTGGTCTAGAAAGTAACCTGGTTGTAATCAGGTGATATGATGTCTTCTCAACCAGAACACCACTATACTACCAGAAGATGATGTCATTATGACGCTGGGCAGAATAGCCATTACATCAACTCCCATTCATTGAACTGTTTGCACACGCCTCAGTTAAGATTGTGCCACTCTACTCCCACACTCTGCTTACATTCCAGTATTATTTTTCAGTGGAAGAAAACAATATCATTAACCTGCAGCCAAAGAGGAAGTGGAGAATAAAATTCACTTTCCCTGGCAGAGCACGCACATACACAAAGAGCATACCAACAGTCCCTCAACAACCTAATAACCCCCCTTGCACACCCACAGCTCCCCCCACCTGCCAATACTTTCCATGACATTGTTTTCACCAGTTGGGAAACTACAGCCAGCGCCCTACTTAAGGAGCTCCAACTCCCAGTCAGAAACACACTCTCTCTCAACTCCTCTATTGAAAAACACTCCCTCTCTCACTCCCTTTCTCTGTGTCTCTGTGGGACCCATCTGAAGATCAGGATGCTATGCTGTAGAGTGTTTATCCTGGCTTTGCTGTTCTCTCTCCTCATCATCACCCTCATTCCCACCACACAATCAGGTGAGTGCTAACGCACACACACACACTATATATGTACATTAACCTTAGTACAAATACATGCACGCAATGTCTCTTGCTGACACACAAAAAAAAACTTGTATGTGTGTAGCGGACTGTTGTCTGAAGTACACTCAGCGTCCGTTGCACTGCCGATGGCTGAAAGGCTACACCTTCCAGGACATGACTTCCTCATGTGACCTCAACGCTGTCATGTGAGTTATCCTCCAATCACAGCCTAGCACATTGTGTGTAGAATAGTGGCTGAATATCAATTGTATTTCCTTGATTCCTCTTATCTTCTCCTTATCCAATGCATTTGGAGGCGAGGAGAGATGATCCGAGGAAAGACAATTGACATTCACTCACTGTGTGTGTGTAATGTGTGTTGACATTGCACTGTGTTGTGCAGCTTCCACAATCGAAGGAATAAGTTTGTGTGTGCCGACCCCTCTCAAGACTGGACCAAGAGGGCACTACGCTGTCTGCGGTGAGTACACTTGTGTGTGTGTGTGTGCGCGTGTGTGCGCATGTAGGCGTTGAAAAAGTTGTGTGTATGTTTGTTTAACTCTTTGTGTTTGTGTGTGTGTTCTGTTCATAGCAAGCGTCAGGAGAAAAAATCCCAACTGAAGAAAAGTGTCTGAACACATGATGACGTGGAGAAGGCTGGGATTTTCTCTGGAGAGATGTACAGCTCTATCTTTCATTATAGAACACCATTTAATATATTATTGATATGCTATTATATCTTTACTGAGACAAACAGCAATATATCTCAATATACAGAGAGATTTGTGAAGGTTAAGAGGTTTTTAACCTGAGAAGTCTGTATTCATACAAATCATTTATTGTAAGTGATAATTTTTCATAATATCTGTGATTCTGAGGTAGTTTGAGTTTAATCTCAGTTTGTGTATAATAACTGTATTTATCATCGTTGTTGGTCTGTTTTATAAACAGCAAGTGTAGTATTTATGATATGCATGTAGAAACATTAAAACATAGATTTCACACAGAGTACCACAAAATATTTTTTTGTTGATGTTTCATATCCTCTCTCCAATTGGAGCCAGAGAAAACCTTTTTTACTTTGTATTTCCAAAGTGTCCAAATCTCTGTATGAGTTTTACTCAAGTGTACTTACTGTAAGCTCAGAGCTATGAAATAGATAATAAAATATGTATTTAAAAACGGTGTGTTCTACTCTTATTGTATGTGTAGGCTACCAGTACGTGACATCCAAAACAAAAAATTCCATCATCATCCACACAAAAAATGAAAGAGTGTAGGAAGGGATACCAAACACACACGCATTCACACATTCATACACGTGAATGGGCCTATCAATGGTATGCTTATTTTTGTTTTCACATCCTGTCCACAGCAGTCACTATAGAGGGCTTGCAGTTGCATCACAAATCATCTAGCAACCGCACCAAGCGCCATGTTGAAAGACCAAACTCAGTCTGTTAAAAGTCCTCCAATCGTCCACATGGATGGATGTGTTTTGCTACCACCGGAAACTTCGGGAAGATTGCCCATTATTTAGTTTTTCTAAGGATCCAGAAAACGGAGGCAGTGGAAGAACCTATTCAAGTAAGTAAATATGTTGAAAGTGATCAAAAACGATGTATTATTAGCCAGGGGCGGTGTATTCATTAGGGCGATATGGGCGACGCACTGCCAAACGGGAAAAGGAAGGGATTTTTTTTCTAATCAATTATATCACGGCAACAGTAGTTTTCAGTGTTCTAATCTAGACGTCTGATCTGCCACTAAATGTCCAATCAGGCTAAAGTCGTGCTTCAAATGGCCCCGCCCGTTTTGGGGCGATTTCAGTCAGGTTGAAAATCGCCCCAGAAGTCTCTCAGACTCTCATGTAAAATCATTTTTTTTCAAATATCAGAGCTTTCAATACAATCTCAATTTCGTCATACGTAACATAACCATGAACATAACTAAGAAAAGAGCGGGTAGCAGCGTCAATCAATTCACGTACAACTGTCAAGATGGCTAGCGTTCAGTGCAACTCGATTGTCTCTTTGAAGAAGTTCATTTTTGTCGGCGAACAAATCAAGATAAATTGGCAACGAAACAATTAGGACCTCCCAGACCAAATTTAATAATTCAACAGGTTTCTACTAAAGGGGGAAAGTCCTACACCCGAGGATTTTCCAAAAATTGGTACGAACGAAAAACCTGGCTAGCAGGCTGCGATGTAGCTAATGCAGTCTTCTGCTACCCATGCTTACTCTTTCACCCTGAAGGCGGCACGGCAGACAGCACCGCTTGGACAGCGACAGGTGTAACGGACATGCACCATCTTTCAGAAAAGATTAAGAAACATGAGCTGTCAAAGACCCACATGGATAGCTGTTTGAGATTGTCTGCTTTGGGGAGAGTGAACATTGCCACTCAACTGGATGAGGGATACAGGCTAGCTGTCCGCCGCCACAACGATGAGGTTAGCAAGAACCGCCACATCCTCAGCCGGCTAATCCAGTGTGTGAAGTTTTGCGGAGTGTTTGAGTTAGCTTTGCGAGGCAAAGATGAAACTGAGGGCTCCACCAACCCTGGTATTTTTCTTGGACTTGTCAACTTTGTGGCACAATTAGATGAGGTGTTTGATGACCATCTTAAAAATGCTAAAGTTTTCAAGGGCACATCAAAGACCATTCAAAACGAGCTACTGGAGTGTATGCTAGCGGTCATGAGGGAACATATTGTGGAGGAGGTGAAGTCGGCGAACTTCGTAGCTATCCAAGCTGACGAGACCACGGACGTTTCTACACAGACACAGCTGGTGCTTGTGCTGAGGTACATAGATAGCAAGAAGATTTTATTTTTTTCCTGGGGCTTTTTCACAAAATCATGCCCCACGTCGACATTCTGTACCAGAAGCTACAGAAGAAGGACATCGATGCTGTCTTCATCAAACGTGCCCTCGACAGCTTCACAAGCAGTGTGCAGGCCATAAGGTAAGATTAAACAATATCATTCGATCTTTCTCAAAGCAGAGCTTTATTTGAAAATGTATGCATGAAAGGAGACATCATCATATTTACAAATCTATACAATTGGCCAGAATATGGTTGTTCATTTTTACAAAGCCATACAGATAGCTGTGTTTACCTTTTCTAGAAATTATTTTCAAATTCTGTTTTCAGGCAAAATGTCTATCACTGTTCATTTTCACAAATCTATACAAGAGGGCAGAATATGGAAGTCTATAAAAATGTCTTATTACCAATAACTTGCATCAATGTTTTCAGTAGCCTCTATCAAAAGCTCCTGCTTGCTTGTTGTGAATTATGCTCAGGTGCACATATTTCCAATTCAACCATGAGGCCTTTTTGAAGCAAGTAATGTGTATATCAGTATTGACTTATATGCTGCCCCTGTCTTCATGTTGTTGCTGGACATATCTTTTTTTAAATGTGTGTAGGTCACCTAAATCATCAGAAAAATTGCCCCCCCTGAGAATTTTTTCAGGAGCCGCCACTGTTATTAGCTAGCTTGCTACAGAAACTTAGTATGCAGGCTAACTCAAATGAGCTGCTAACGTAATGTTCGCTAGTTAGCTAACTATACATACTGTAAAGCTAGCTAGGTGAATTAAATATCACCCGTTTGCTAACTTCATATTAGCTAGTTAGCTATCTAGATGTATTTATCGTTGTAACTCCAAATGCATTTGTAGCTAGCTAGGTAGGTAACTAGCTAACAGCCATGGAAGAGGGTGAAATGATTAGTTAGCATTCCAGCTGTCAGAGACGGGAGAGTAGGCTACTCTGGATAGGGCAGGTAACTTTGTGGGAGAACATTATGAAACTATTCTCCAGTTCCAGTCCCTAGCGAGAAAAACTGCCCAGCCTGGCGGAGATACAATTTTCGGCAAAATCATTTGCAAGTAGATTCCTGCAAAAATACTATTTTAATATGTTAAATGCATTTATTCGGAATTCTTGATTTTTTTTCCACATTTTGTTACATTACAGCCTTATTCTAAAATTGATTATATTGTTTTTTTCCCCCTCAATCTACAGACAATACTCCATAATCAGAAAGCAAAAACAGGTTTAGAAAATGTTGGCAAATGTATTAAAAATAAAAAACGGAAATATTACATGTACATAAGTATTAACCCTCCCGTTGTACTAGGGTCAAAATGACCCGCCACTGTGTTGAACCAACTTTATTTAATTTTTATATTTTTTGGATCATTTGTGAGAAGGAGGCAGTGATACTTTCTTTAAAGTCTCACTGCCTCCTTCTCACAAATGATCCCAAAAATATAAAAATTAAATAAAGTTGGTTCAACACAGTGGCGGGTCATTTTGACCCTAGGACAACGGGAGGGTTAAGACCATTTACTCAGTACTTTGTTGAAGCACATTTGGCAGCAATTACAGCCTCGAGTCTTCTTGGGTATGACACTACAAGCTTGGCACACCTGTATTTGGGGAGTTTCTCCCATTCTTCTCTGCAGATCCTCTCAAGCTCTGTCAGGTTGGATGGGGAGCGTCACTGCACAGCTATTTTCAGGTCTCTCCAGAGATGTTAGATCGGGTTCAAGTCAGGGCTCTTGCTGGGCCACTCAAGGACATTCAAAGACTTGTCCTGAAGCCACTTCTGCGTTGGCTTGGCTGTGTGCTTAGGGTCGTTGTCCTGTTGGAAGGTGAATCTTCGCCCCAGTCTGAAGTCCTGAGCGCTCTGGAGCAGGTTTTCATCAAGGATCTCTCTCTGTACTTTGCTCCGTTCATCTTTCCCTCGATCCTGACTAGTCTCCCAGTCCCTGCCGCTGAAAAACATCCCCACAGCATGATGCTGCCACCACCATGCTTCACCGTAGGGATGGTGCCAGGTTTCTCCAGACGTGACACTTGGCATTCAGGCCAAAGAGTTCAATCTTGGTTTCATCAGACCAGAGAATCTTGCTTCTCATGGTCTGAGAGTCCTTTAGGTGCCTTTTGGCAAACTCCAAGCGGGTTGTCATGTGCCTTTTACTGAGGAGTGGCTTCCGTCTGGCCACTCTACCATAAAGGCCTGATTGGTAGAGTGCTGCAGAGATGGTTGTCCTTCTGGAAGGTTCTCCCATCTCCACAGAGGAACTCTGGAGCTCTGTCAGAGTGACCATCGGGTTCTTGGTCACCTCCCTGACCAAGGCCCTTCTTCCCCGATTGCTCAGATTGGTCGGGCGGCCAGCTCTAGGAAGAGTCGTGGTGGTTCTAAACTTCTTCCATTTAAGAATAATGGAGGCCACTGTGTTCTTGGGGACCTTCAATGCTGCGGAAATGTTTTGGTACCCTTCCCCAGATCTGTGCCTCGACACAATCCTGTCTCGGAGCTCTACGGACAATTCATTCAATCTCATGGCTTGGTTTTTGCTCTGACATGCACCGTTTATTTTGTATAAATTTGCAAAGATTTATAAACCTGGTTTTTGTTTTGTCATTATGGGGTATTGTGTGTAGATTGATGAGGTTTTATTTTAATTCATTTTAGAATAAGGCTGTAACATAACAAAATGTGGAAAAAGGGAAGTAGTCTGAATAATTTCTGAATGCACTGTTGCAACAGAATATTCAGTGCTGTCTAATTTGAGTATAATGCAGCCTTTTTCTTTTTGATGTTTTCTGTCCTCAGATACAGAGAGCCGTCAAACCCTGTCTGCAGATGAAGAGGTCCCAATGAATGTCCCAAGAGAATAAGAGTACATCCTTGTATACCATGGATTATATGTTAGCAAATTACAGTTTAAAAGTCACAATGTATAAACCTATTACAACTGGAGCAGTCCAGCCCAGCACACTAACACACCTGATTCAATGTATCAAATCTAATTACTTAATAATCAATGTGCTATTGTTGGGCTGGAACAGAAGTCTGCTCACCCAGTAGATCAGGGATCAGTGTAGTGAGGTTAACCACCTGGTATAAAAAAATTTTTTGGTTTACCTGAAATTATGTTTTAGTAATAATAGCCTACTTGTTACTAGAATGTCTAACCTTTACGTATGAGTTAGCTTACTTGTACACTTTGAAATATGAAAGTGTTGATTCTTTGAAGTTGTGTTTAAACTTGTTTTAATTGTTAACTTAAGTAGTATTCAAGATTGACTAGTGTTGATGTTGATTAAATACAGATCACAATCCTGCAATAAAGAGGGGAAGGGAATCTTTCTCTAATT